TCGATTCACCTCTAAATTTTCCTAGTTTTTCCACAATTATCCTAAGATAATTGGGCGTAATCATAAATTTTAAGGTAGGTAATTTTACAACTGACAAGTAATCATTATTTACAATTTCTAAAATTTTTGGAATTTCCACTTTGTCACTTTTCTGTGAAACTGGTTTCACTTGGTTTTTGTCTTTTGTCATTGACCTCGTAATTGCTAATATTTGCTTAGCGTTTTCGGAAATTGATTTGAGTTCGCTTATCGTTATTCTGGATAGAGCGTCTGCTCCTACGTTTTCTTTTCCTTTTATGTATTCGACAATGAATTCATATTCCTCTAAATCCAATCGCATTCTTGTCAGTTTCGATGAAGGATTTTTCATTGCAAATAAATAAATAAGTGGCTTGTGATCTGATTTAACAATACATTTTTTACCATATAGATACGGTCTGAAATGTCCAATAGCCCAATGTATAGCTGCTAATTCTTGTTCAATAGTGGCTTTATTTGATTCGCCTTTTGTAAATGTTTTTGAAGCATAAGCAATAGGCAGCTCTTGACCTTCAAAATATTGTGCAAGTACAGCTCCACATGCCTCTTTTGATGCATCTGTTGTCAAAATGAAGTCTTTACTGAAGTCTGGATATTGAAGAATTTTAGGACTTAACAAAGCCAATTTGAGTTTTTCGAATGCATTATCGCAATCAGTTGTCCAAATAAAGGTGCAATTTTTCCTTGATAATTTATTTAATGGTCTTGCTAGATCAGCAAAATTTGGAATAAATCGCCTATAATAATTGCAAAATGCAACAAACCTTTTGACTGCGTCAGCGTCGGTTGGCTTTGGAAATTTTTTAATTACGTCAAATTTTGACTCGTCTGGTAATATGCCTTTACTTGTGACTTTATGACCCAGAAACGTTACTTCATTTTGGAAAAATTTGCATTTCTCAGCGTTTAACTTTAGATTAAATTTCCTACATGTTTCAAAAACATTTCGTAAATTTTGTAAATGATGGTTTTCTGAGCACCCTATTACTATTAAATCGTCCATGTATAAGAAAGCTTTTTCTGGAGTAATTCCTGTAAAAGCTATACTCATCATACGTTGGAAACTATTAGGACTTATCTTCAGCCCAAACGGGAGTCTGTTAAATCTATAAGAACCATTGACCGTACTAAAAGTTGTCATGTCGCGCGCGCTTTCATCTAGAGGTATTTGATGAAATCCTGACTTTAGGTCCAATGTTGAGAACCACTTCGCTCTGCCAAGTTGATCGAGAATGTCATCGATTCTAGGCAAAGGGAATTTATCTGCCACTAGTTTTTTGTTCAGTTGCCTATAATCAATAACCAAGCGCCATTTCTTAATACCATTTGTTGACTTTTTGGGCGTTAACAAAACAGGACTATTATAAGCCGCTGTTGACGGTTCTATAATTTTATCCTTAATCATTTTATTTACCTGCGTATTAATTTCTGATGATTGTGTATAAGGAATTCTATAATTTCTTGTATATACTGGGGTTTCATCTGTTAATATAATTTTTTGAGAATAAAAGTTATTTGTTGTTAACTCATCATCCTTTAAACCAAAAATATCCGAAAACTCCTTGCATAGATCAATCGTTCTATTTTTGACAAAATTTGGAATTTCTGTGTTTAACTCCTGTAATAATGCCTTTTCTCTATTAATATTATTATTGCTATTAATATTATAAACCATGTAATTGTTAAGGCTTGATGTTTTTATGTTTGTTGTTTTTATTTTAACACTTTCGAAATTTGTATTTAGTATTTTAGCATATGGACTACTGCTTGATATAACTGTGCCTGCGATGTACACTCCTGTGGCTATTTCATTATTTAATATCACACTATCTTCACCTAAGGTTTCCAATACTCTTATTCTTCTAACGATTTCTGACCTAGGTGGAACAATTAAAGTATCTTCTTCCTGACTATCGTAAATTGGCAGTTCTAGATCTATATTAGGCGTTTTCAATGTTAGGATCCACTCGTCATAATCTAGTTGACATCGATATTTTGAGATAAAGTCTCTTCCCAAAATTCCATCAGCATAGATTGGAAACTGCTGATTTACTATATGAAAAGTGTGTTCTATAGCATGATTATTTATAAAAATTTTGGTTGTCGTAGTTCCTATTGAACTAGTAATACCGTCTGTTACACCTTTAATTTTACTTACTTCTGACCTATTTACGATCTGTCCGGGATTAATTTTGTTTCTTTTAAATAGTGAAATATCAGCCCCTGTATCCACTAGCAAGCAAATTGTTTCATCATCAGTCATTTCTGTTGTTATTATGATGAAGTTCGAAAGTGTTAGGTCCATATTGAAAATGTTTAGGAATCCCCCAACGGACCTATTTGGGATTCCTGTCGGTTTTCCTGCGTATCGCTCTCGTAGGCTCTTATATATCGACCGCCTCTACTACCTCGGTAGTTTCCTCCGTGACCACGATTGCTATGATTTGGATAGTTCCTATTGTTACTATTAGCCAAATTGTTGTCATAATTATTGCCATTACGATTCGAGCCCGAGTATCTCCAATTATTTCTACCACGATAATTTCTTCTTACAAATGGTCTGCCTCGTTGAGCAAAAAGGACAGTGGCATTTTCTTCAGGGCTAGTGCTTACGAATTTAGTTATGGCTTCTTGGCACGTTCCAAAGGTACTGGCCTCCATTATCAACTTAGTTTTTTCTGATCTGGCATTTTTGCTTAGGGCTTGTACAGTAGTATTGGCAGAATAAGTTTCAGCCACAGCTTCTGGAACCCCTTCGTTTATGTAAGCTCTTTTTAAACAAGCTGACAGAGATTCTACTTCCGATGCGTACTTAGCAACGTCCTTATGGTTTTGTCTCAATGACAATAACTTTCCTGCAAGAAGTTGAGAACTTTCCGTCTTTATTCCTTGTCTAATTTTTTCTATAATTATCGGTAAGGTATCATTATCACCGATCAGATCCCGAGCTTTTCCAGTTAATCTTGTTTTCACATATGCTACGGCATTTAATTCGTGGCCCTCTGCATTGGCCAACAATAGGTTTAATGAGTCCAAAAATGATTTTAATTTATCCGAACTACCATCAAATTCATTTGGCAATATTTTACTGGCCAAGTTAAAAAATTCTAACTTAGTCATTGCCATCTTGCTTATACTGCGGTAAGTTTCTTCAGACGATGAATATTCAGATTCCTCTTCTATAACCTCTTCCTTTATCAAAGGGTTTATGAATTCAAGACACGAGTCAGGGACTTTATAATTTACACCTAACACTTGGTAAGATCTGATTACTTTATCGCGGATTGAATTAAAAAGTTTTTTAGCTACAGAGCATTCTTGCTCAGTCAAAAATGGAAAAACTGAAATTAATCGCCTGACAAATTTATTATAATTAACTAGAAGCTTATCTGTAACGTCTCTAAGGATGTCTTCAGATTTAGGTACTTGTTTTTTTAGAACCCTTTTTGACTCATTTACTAATACTTGTTTTATATCTAGGAGTTGGGTATAAGTGTCCTCCCAATCTTTTGACATTTACTTATTGGAGTTAAATAATTTTAAAACCCACTTTATAATTAAAAATTTTGACCTAATTAAATAATATCTAAACATAAATAAACATAAACATGACCCATTTGTTTTTAAATTCCTATTTTGCATAATTAACTAAATTTTTATACTACATTTAAATATTCGCAACCGCAGCACTTATTACGTACTTTAAACGACATACCTTCTTTTTGCTGACGGTGTAAATTTTCGCCTTGGCGTTTGATTTTGCTGGTACGGCTTCCTTGGTGCTGTGGACGGGGATGATGCCCTCTACACGTCTCCGGCTTGGGACCTCAGGACCATGCTTCTGGACAGGTTCTTCTTAATTCCTCGTCTGTAGGCGTTGCGGAATTTTAGCGCCACCATAGCCAAAACTGATCCGGCAATGACGTATAAGATCACTCTCAGGTCACTTGGCACTTTAATGTCACTCTCTTCGACGATAAAATTCGAATTTACAACTCCGGTATCCGTAACCTCGCTATGTTTTGAATTAGATTTTCCCATTTTACACGTATATTTATTTTCACTAATTTTAATACAATTCCTTTGGGACTAACTTACGGCTGCTCCAGTGTTGCTTGGATTTCTTTTTCTTACTGATATGAATGAACTTTTTCGGCATACCACAATCGGAACATTTGTTTTAATTTTGCTACCCCGTAGACACCAATAAGTACCAACACTATCTATTCTGTTTAGGCAGGATCATTCTGTTTAGGCAGGATCGCCATGTAGTGTCCAATTGGGTTGAAGGGCAAAGTCAGTAATACATCACGTACCTTTTAACACCTTTATTGTTAGTACATCGTAACATCACGACTGGGGACCAACTATGCTGTTGGTGACCTAGTTTGGTCTTACCTAGCACCAGTATTGACCGATCAGCAATACGTGTACAATACGTGTACTGACGTGGCCAATACAACGCACTACACTTCCAGCTCGTCCAGATCCCTCTCGAAGTCCTCCATGGTGTCATTTGGGGAGAGGTACACCGAGTAGAGAGCCACTCCTCCCGTCTTCGCCCTGACGAAAGCGGCTCCGCCGTTCTTTTCGTCACAGTGGCCGTTGGCCAGCTAGATTGCGGCCGATTTTCTTTCATTGATGACCCAGTTAGCGCTCTTTGTCAAGATGTTCTGATTAGGTTTGCTAACAAGTCCGGCACAAGCATTCTTTCTCCTACACCTATCGTACAGGAGGTAGTGAGCCCGCCTGCACCTGTTTATGTTCAGCTGGATGACTAGTTAGGGTTTGACGGAGCCCATTGCGACATATAAACATTCACACGACATCCTGCGATCCGCTATCGCCTCTCGGCGCTCGCAGATGGCATCGCTCTGTCGTCGGCGACGCTTCCTCTCCTGGCCGATTTTAGGATCGCCTTCATCTGCTCGCACTTGCCGGACCAGGCCCGGTGCGGCCGCTTACACAGGGGACAGTATGGTTCCTCTGTGCATTTCTCTGCCATGTGTCCAGCTTTGCCGCATTTGAGGCAGCATTTTGACCAATCCCGCGCACCTGCTGGCGGTATGGCCGTGCTCCCAGCATTTGTGGCATTTCTCGATATTAAGTCTGGGCCTGACGCTGGCAGGGGTCAACCCCATGATGATACCCTTATGCGCCAAGATCGTGGCGCCGACATCCGCGGGAGCCAGCACCACCGCGGACTGCTTGCTCCTAAGTCCGCCTCTTAGGTTTCTGATTTCGATATCTTTGGCGGCTGCCCCGGTTTGCTCCACGATAGCGGCCTTGACCTCCTCTTCGCTTAGAGCAGCCTCGATATTGGTCATCATTATGGTGGCCTTCCCTCCGCCTGTGAGGGCCTCCACTTTTTCCCCCACCTTACTCTCCGCAATCAGTTTAGCGACTTCCTTGGCGCTGCCCCCGCTTAGACTGATCAGCATATGTCCGTCCCTGGTCTGATGAATCTCCGCCACCTTGAGGTTGTGCCTCTAATCGCCTTCCTCGCCTTGGCGAGCAGTTCCGGGTACTCCTCCCGCTTGGTCCCCTTGATCAGGATAGCATCATGGCGGTGTTTTTTGGGCCTAGTGCTGGTTTGCCGCGCCAGTGGGGGACGGGTGATTTCTGCCTGCCTGAGTTGCCGCTTTGGGACGCAGACCCTGGCTAGTATTCCCAGTTTGGCAACCAGGACGCAGGCCGCCATCTTCCTCGCTGTCCCGGCCATGAAAGCAGGCGCCGCGAAAGAGATCATGTCCGCTCCCTCCAGGCTGGCAATACTGCCCAGCTCCACTATCCCCCGGTACATCGCCTCGGTCGGGTCTTCAGCATCGGGCCTCGCCACCAGTATCCTCTTCCTTCTGGTCCTGTTGCCCATCCTGGTGTTGGTTTCCAGTACCTTCTCTCCCTCCTCGTTGTTCGCCAGATCCGGGAAGCGTTCCCTGGCCACGGCGAGAAGACCCTCGGTCATATCCTCCTTGCCCCGCGGGATTATGAGGCCAACCACCTCCTCGTCCCAGTTGTTGATCGGGTTGACCTCTACGATTTCGGTTCCTTCGTAGCTTTCAGCTACCCACTTACTGCTCTCGGCCGCTTGAAACAGCTCATAGCTCTGGCTCCCCTTCCTGGCCTCCCGCGTGATGCTAGGTCGCGGCACCTTGCTCCCGTCCATAGCCTTGTCCATGCCGGCTTCTTGGGCTGACATTATGTTATCTCCGCGTTGTCTGAGCCTTTTAATGTGTTTGCAGCTGTGACGATCCTGCTCCATTCCTTTCGGAAAGGGTCATCCTTGCCGCCTATGCCCTTGTCAGAGGCTTCTCCCGCTACCTGCGCATAGCTGATAGGCGCTGCTGCTTTCGGCGTCGGATTTGCCTGTTTGAGGCCTTCCAGCTCGAGATGATCCATTCTGGCGCAACCGATTTGACGCGACTGGTTTGGCGCGGCTGTACTAGCGCAGGTCTGTTGTGACGCAGACCGCTTCTGGCGCAAAGCCTATTTAGCGTAGATAAGTTCTGGCGCGAAGACTTTATGGCGCAAATTATTTAAAACATATTAAAAATTGACCTTATTTTATTAACCTTTTGTTGTAATTAGTGCCTACCCTGCTAGAATGATAAATATAACTATATAATATATATATATATATTATATGATACGCTAATGACTTCCTATAATAATAATATAAGAAAGTTGGCGTTTATTTAGTTGTTATAGAGATGATAAGAATAATAAAATAAATTTTTGACAATAAATTGATATAAAATAGAAAGGAAATAAACCTATAATAATTATTATAATTGTAAGTTATAACAATTTTATTAGTAGTTGGTCTGAAGAATACACAGTGTATTGAAACATATTTGTTAAAAATGGAAGTGCAAATCAAAAGTAAACAAGGTCGCGAGAAGTTTTTCGAAAATGGATTTTTGTATTTATTTGATAGAAACAGTGCGTGTGGAGCAAAAAAGTTCTGGCGTTGCGATAGAAAGGGTGAAGGTTGTCTTGTGAGAATACATACACAAGATGGCACTATAGTTAAAAGTATAAACCATCACACACATGATAGTTCAGCTGCTACTGTGGAAGTTCTGAAGATCAAAACTAAAATTAAAGATAGAGCCACGTCTACAATGGAAGCGCCTGCTCAAATTATTAATAATGTTTTGAGTTATGACGGTAAAAATGTGCCAAGAAGTGTTTTGGCTGCATTGCCCGTGCAAACAGCATTAAAGAAAATGATTAGAAGGCAGAGAAATGAAGTAAATAGAGCACCGCCCGTTCCACGGAGCCTGGAAGAACTAGAAATTCCTGAAAAATACAAGACCGTTATGGGAAGAGATAACGAGGAAGAAGATTTTCTTTTGGCAGATAGCGGAGCAAGCCTAATCAGAATTTTAATTTTTGGAAAACGCGATAATTTAAAGGTACGTTTGACTGTTTCTTTATCCTTTTTTTCTTAAAATATGTAACTAATTAAATAAAATTTATTATCCGAGTGTTTCCAATATATACTAAGGTGCAAAAAAAGTGGATAAAATATTGTAAAATTTTAGGTGATCCACTTTTTTGCACCTGAGTGTACAATGTACACTGTACATAGATGTAGGACCTACATTGTAGGTACTTAATTTTGAAAGAAAATAACATGTATTATTGTAATCTTTCCAGATTTTACGTGAATCCAAACACTGGTTCATCGATGGAACATTTCGTTCTGCTCCTACACTATTCTACCAAGTGTACGTTATCCTTTCAGAAAAATTAGGAGGGGTTCATCCAATAATATATGCCTTACTGCCAAATAAGAAGATTGGAACATACAAACGTCTCTTGGATATGTTACTAGAATTAGAAGCAGGGCTAAATCCACAGCTAGTTTCATGTGATTTTGAATTGGCTGCAATAAATGCTTTCCAAGAAAAATTTCAAGGAGTTCAAATGCAAGGTTGTTTTTTTCACTTGGTCAAGAATTTTAAAAAAACATCTTGCCGAACTTAATCTTTTGGGTAGATATCAGAATGACCCAGATTTTGCCCACATGGCAAAAATGATAACTTCATTGGCCTTTGTACCTATCGAAAATCTCGATGAGGCGCTAGAGAGTCTCACAGAAGAAATACCGCCAGATTTGTTGCCAATGCTCGATTGGTTCGAAGATTTTTATGTTGGGAGACTAAACAGACGTGGAGGTGGGCGAAGACCGCCTATGTTTCTACCAACCTTATGGTCTGTTTATGAAAGAGTTATCAACGACATTCACAGAACTAATAATTTTGCTGAAGCTTCTCACAGAAGGCTTCAAACAGAGTTATCAATGGATCATCCCACGATTTGGTCATTTATTGATATACTGAAAAAAGTGCAGGTTACAAGAGATATGTATATAGAACAATTAATAGCTGGACAGGCACCTCCTAAAAAACTTAGAAAATATGTTGAATGTGATAAAAGAATTAAGAATATTGTAGAAAATTTCAATAATATAGGGATGGTACAATATTTGAAAGGCTTAGCTTACAATTATAATATGGCTTAGCTTACAATTATAATATAGTAGGGATGTATTATTTTGTATGAATTTGTAATAAAATATATGTTTTGAATTACGTTTTAATAAATTTATGTTTCAAATAATATGTTTGTGTTTCATTTATTTTTCAGGTACATTGCGGTTTTAATGGTTAAAATAGGGTCGATTTTTGATATGTTTTTAATTATTTGCGCCATAAAGTCTTCGCGCCAGAATGTACCTGCGCCAAATAGGCTTTGCGCCAGAAGCGGTCTGCGTCACAACGGACCTGCGCCAGTACGGCCGCGCCAAATCGGTCGCGTCAAATCGGTTGCGCCAGAACGTCCTAGACCGCTTCCAGCTTCTCAATCTGGTGATTGAGAGCTTCAGTATCCTTTATCAGCCTTTCCTTCTCCTTTTCAAGTTCCTCCCTCTCTTTCCTTAGCTCTTCCCTCTCCTTCCCTTCTCCTTCTGTCGGATTTGCCTGTTTAAGGCTTCCCAGTTTTTCAGGAGAAGTCTGGGTGTCCGCGTCATACGTTGGCATATCTGGGTTATCGTACATGTGTTCACTTAGCCAGTCCGTTATTAGACTCCGCTTTAGCTGTCTCCCGTTTGTTGCAAGCGAGCTTGCGATGTCCTTAATCCTATTTTGCGTGTTAGGGAATTCCTCAATCTTCGTAGTCAGGGCTTTGATGTTGGACTGTATGGTTTCCAAAATCTCGACCAGCAACGCGTGTGCCGCGTTTTCTTTTCGGTTGACCACTTTCCTGAATGAAGTGTCCCCCACATTCCTCTTCTTTGTCGCAGCTCCCACAGATTCGCATCTCTTCAGCATGCTTACGAAATTCAGCCTGCTGTGTTGTTTTGGTGTCGAAATGACCTTTTCGTCTTCGTCCACTATAATGGTCTCGTAGACGTTGTTGCCGCCTTCGGACAGTCTCCGCGGTATCCCAGTATTGGCTACCGAGCACCCGGGCTGGTTTGCCCCCGGGGCCGTACAGTTGCTGGCTAACGGTCGGGTGAGGCCTGCACTACCACCTTCAGCCGGATTTGCCTGTTTAAGGCTTCCCAGTTTTTCAGGAGAAGTCTGGGTGTCCGCGTCATACGTTGGCATATCTGGGTTATCGTACATGTGTTCACTTAGCCAGTCCGTTATTAGACTCCGCTTTAGCTGTCTCCCGTTTGTTGCAAGCCAGCTTGCGATGTCCTTAATCCTATTTTGCGTGTTAGGGAATTCCTCAATCTTCGTAGTCAGGGCTTTGATGTTGGACTGTATGGTTTCCAAAATCTCGACCAGCAACGCGTGTGCCGCGTTTTCTTTTCGGTTGACCACTTTCCTGAATGAAGTGTCCCCCACCTTCCTCTTCTTTGTCGCAGCTCCCACAGATTCGCATCTCTTCAGCATGCTATACGTATTTTATATAATTTTTTTTCAATACAGAATGGAGACCGGTATTAACTACCCATCTAACTCAAAATTTACCTAAAAAAATGTCAATTTTTGAGGTTTTGCCGATATTTTCGAGAATTAAAACACTGTGCGTTGGTCTAAAATAATACCCAAGTATTTTACCTCATTTAAGCCTGAATTATAGATTGCCTTCCTTCCTTCCTCCCGTAGTCGTGCCCGTACGATTTGTGCGTCTTGTAAGTCAATTTATAGATTTCCGTGTAAAATTCCGTAACCATGCGCGATGACACCTAAAGTGGTTGACATTTGTTTTTGTTTATATTCTGCGTTTTACTCATTGTGTGTAAATATGAAAGATAAACACTTAAATATTAGTGCAGTGATCACAATTTTAATTACCCAGGCAGCTTGTTGTGGAAAATAAGCATAAACTACATATTTATAAAAAGCAGTAGGTATTTAACTGATTTATTTAACTTAAAAGATAGTTTACTGCATTTCTTTGTTGAATTAAGATACAAAATTTCCATAGCTTTATCATAGCACAAGAAAACGCATTTGCAGTTACTGCCTTTCTCCATAGTAGGGCAGTATGATAAAAAAAACATCGAACAAGACGTTGGAAGACTCGCTCACTTTACCAAGACCGGGAAACTACGGGGTTTTACAAAGCAACGTTTCTTAAAATGAAAGACATTGATTTATAAACAATATCTAAATATCCTATTTAGAGACACAAATTATTTAATAAACTGAATACCTATCTTAAATATTACTAAACAATCATGTATTTTAAATATTTTGTGCCTACGCGCTGTCACCCTACAGCGCATGTCCATAACAAGCACTGTCATTGGTCATGTCAAAGACCTTTACGGTGAAAGATAAAACTTAAAAATTTCTACGGGAGGAAGGAATGCCGTCCTTACGGTACAGGAATCTATAACTGGCACTACGATTTAAATAAACATTTTTGACGTAATTGTCACCATTAACATTGCACGTTATTAATTTTAATTAAACTTAACAATTATAATAATAATAATTATTGATACTTTAAAATATTAAAATAACTTCAAAATATGATTTTGTTAAGAAAATATTTTATTCTTTGATTTTTTTTGTTACTATAAATGCAAAATATTATCACAAATTATTAAAAATTCCTACACGGGAAATATTAATGGTGACAATTACGTAATGTTCATCTTCTACGGGAGGAAGGAAGGACGGAAGGCAATCTATAATTCAGGCTTTACCCTTT